AGTAGGAAAAACTGGAAAACGAGCAACAAATTCTGAATAATCCTCCTAAGTTGAATCAGTAGCAGAAAATCCAATCCACTAGACAAGAAGGCGTGTAACTGGCCTGTTGTTGCGCTTAAACAAACCACGATCTAAAATGTGAAGTGGCAGCCAAATAGTAACGCCACTATCAGAAATGGGAGGGAGATGTGGAGCAGGTTGCACCATTTCTCCAAGTTTCTTTTTGAGGCAAGAAACGTGAAATACTGGATTTATACGATACTCTATAGGCAAATCCAGTTTGTAAGCGACTTCTCCAATGCGGGAAAGAATACGAAAAGGTCTATAAAATCGTGGCAAGAGCTTATGTGGCCCGCGGGGGCCCAAGGAAATTTTTCGATGTGGCTGAAGTCAGAGAAAACCCCAATCTCCCACACTAAAAGAGTGTTCAGTTCGATGACGGTTAGGAAAATATTTCATGCAATACTACGTAGCAGTTAAATTTTCTTTGAGTAGTCGCAATATACTATCACAATCACGAAAGACAACATCTACAGCATGAACAACAGTAGTATAGGGAAGGTATGAAGCAATGGGCAATGGAGGCCGATCATAAACTGCTTGAAAATGCGTCATTTTCAATAAAGATTGAAAGGAAGTGTTATACCACCATTCAGCCCATGGTAGCCACATTGTCCAACTGGAAGATTGTTGGCTTGCAAAGCAACGCAAATAAGTCTCAAGGGACCGATTAACCACTTCAATTTGCCCGTCTGATTGGGGATGATAAGCCGAACTTTGACAAAGACTAGTGCCCTACAATTCAAAAAATGCTTTCCAAAATTGACTCGTGAAAACAGGGTCTTGATTACTAACAATAGATTTAGACATCCCATGTAAACGAGCAATTTCCTGAACAAAAATTTTAGCCACCGTAGTTGCTGAATAAGGACGCACAAGTGCACTTAAGTGGGCATATTTGGATAGTCGATCAACTACAACCATAATAGAAGTTTTGTGAAATGAAGGAAGTAACCCATCAATGAAATCCATAGAAATATCAATCCACACTTCCTCCGGAATTGGTAGAGGTTATAGCAGCCCAGGTGGAGAGATACTTTCAGATTTATTATGTTGGCTAACATCGCACTCGGCAACAAACTTCTTAACAGCCCTTTTGAGGCATTTCCAATAAAAATTGTGTTGGATGCGCTTATAAGTCCGTAAGAACCCGGAATGACCACCAATTTGGGAAGCATGGAATTCCCATAGAATTTTGGAACACCAAGGAGAAGAAGAGGGAACCACAACTCGGTCTTTATAACGTAAAACACCATCAAGAAGAGAATAACTCGAATTTGTAGACACTCCTCGTCGTAATTGAGTAAGAATAGGGGACAAATTTGTAGACACTCCTCGTCGTAATTGAGTAAGAATAGGGGACAAGGAAAAATCAGTCAAGCATTCAGCAATGATCTCACTAATGGCCGAAAATATAGGGGAAGAAATAGCATGTAAGGTAGATTCTTCAACTTGCCTGGATAAAGCATCTACAGCTCGATTTTCTGCCCCCTTTTGAAACACTATTGTATAATCACATCCCAATAGCTTGATAACCCACTTTTGTTGCTCAAGTGAGGAAACACGTTGATCCATAAAAAATTTCAAACTTCTATGATCAATAAAAATTGTGAAGTGACGACCTAATAAATATGGTCGCCATTTGTTCACCACAAAGACTATGGCAAGCACTTCTTTATCATAGACCGAGAGATTTAAATTTTTTCAAGAAAGAGCTTTACTGACAAAGGCTAAGGGTCACCCTTGCTGCATAAGAATGGCACCAATTCCACTACCCGAAGCATCACATTCTAGAACAAATTCTTGGGAGAAATTGGGCAACACTAACACTGATATGGTTGTCATAGCATGCTTTAATTTCTCAAAAGCAATTTCTGCATCCGAGGACCATCCAAAAGAATCTTTTTTGAGCATGTGAGTTAAGGGTGCTGCAATTTGACCTTACTTTTGCACAAATTTTCTATAATAGCCAATGAGCCCCAAAAAACCTCGTAGAGCCTTAAGAGTATTGGGTTTAGGCAACTCAATCATGCAGCGAATTTTCTCGGGATCCACCATAACCCCTTCTCTAGAAATAATATGGCCAAGATAGTACATAGATGACTTGGAAAAAGAACACTTGGACTGTTTAGCAAATAGTTGATTATGGCGCAAGCATTGTAACACTAATGACAAATGCTCCATATGGACTAGTGTATCATCAAAGAAACTAGTGTATCATCAAAGAAACAAGGACAAACCTCCTTAAGTAAGGCCGAAATATATCATTCATCAAACTTTGACAGGTGGATGGTGGATTAGAAAGCCCAAAAGGCATGACAAGAAATTCATAGTGGCCATCATGAGTGCGAAATGAAGTCTTTAGAATATCTGGTGCATGAATACAAATTTGATGATAATCGGAACGAACATCCAACTTAGAAAAAATCACAACACCATGCAACTCATCTAGATGCTCATCAATAATTGGAATGGGAAAGTGATCCTTCACTGTAATAATATTAAGGGAGCGATAGTTCACACACAACCGCCAAGAACCATCTTTTTTTTGCACTAGTAGCACTGGGGATGAATAAGGACTAACACTCGGTCGAATCAAGCCAATAGCCAACATTTCCTTAACCAATCTCTCGATCTCATCCTTTTGAAAATAAGGATAACGGTATGGTTTTGGGCATTGGTTGGAACACTACCAGGAATAAGTGGAATACGATGGTCTTTAGTGCATGTAGGGGGGAGTCCCTTAGGGTCACCGAACACATCCCTAAAATGGTCAAGAATACATCTAATTTCAGGAGGAACCTCTCTCTCCATTACAACAACGTTTGCAGCCACCAATTGTAACAAGAATACACCATTAGTTTGGAGCCTTAACTTGTGAAGTTTGCCTTGATCAACCACAGTGTTGATTGAGGATCTATTACCTACTAACTTGAACCCTTGGCCATCCAGAATAAACTTCATAATTAATTTAAAAAAGTCCCAAGAAATGGCGCCTAAGGAACGAAGCCAAGCAGCCCTCATGACAATATCACATCCACTCACCGATAATAAGAAAAAACTAGATTTGAAGCAATAACCGTGCAAATTTAGGCCAACTCCATTACACTTAACTTGACTATGAAGAATTCCTCTGTTGGCAATGGTTACGTGAATCGGAGTAGTGTTGCGCACAAGATAACCATAACGTCAAGCTAGCGAAGGATGTAGAAAATAATGGGTGGATCTAGAGTCGACCAACACTATAACAAGCTATTTCTTTAAATAGCCAGTAATTCTCACAGTTTTGAGCTGATTGGTGCCATTAATTGCATGAATAGAAATCTCCAATCCGGAAGAGTCTTCCTCAATTTCCTTTTGGTCGTGTTCTGGTGCATCATCTCCTTCTATGAACAGCAGTTGAGGACGCTTGCAGCAATGGCTAGGCTTGAAAAGTTCGTCACAATTGAAGCATAGCCCCTTTTATCGCCTCTCTTTTTGTTCGAAAATAGTGAGACACTTGATGGGTGGTAAGCTTGGGGATGCAGTGTAAGGAGAAGTTGAAGATGTATTTTATTGCCTCTATTTCTGTTACATTTTCCTAATGGAGTAGTCTTGTAAAGCCCAAATAGACTCCTCCTGACAAATAGCCAAATCAAAGGCCTTTGGCAAAGCCGAAGGATGCAAAAAACGGACCCCAACCTTAATGTCTACACGTAGTCCCGAAATGAAACAACTAATCAAATAGGATTCAGGTAAATCATTTACCCAATTTGCTAAAATTTCAAACTTCATTTGGTAGTCTCGCACAAAACTAGTCTGCTAAAGCTGCAGGGTCCATATCTTCTCACGAACCAAAACGTAAACATAGAGCCTTAGTGAATTATGTCCAAGACATGACACCAAGTGAATGAACCATCTAGCGATACCACGACGTAGCCATTCCAGTTTGGTGAATGGAAGCCAATGGCACCAATTGTGCATCGGTGAGTCCATGGAGGTGTTGATATTGCTCAACTCAAAAAATTCAACCCTCCAAATCTTCGCCGTCAAATCTTGGAAAATCAATACGAATCAGTCGCCCTTGTAAAACCAGTCTATCTTGCAAATTCACTGGTTGCTGGTTCGCCATTTATGGTGCAGCAGGAGCAATAGGGGCCTGTCAGTCTGCCCGAAGGGTCATCGCCAGTTGATCTAAGGATGCCTGAATCACATGAATGGCTTCTCTGATTTCTTGAACTCCACCCACAAGTTGATCCATTCGTGATTCCAATTGCTCAACACGTTCATTCAATTCCTTCACAGTAACCATGATGATAGCAGAAAAAGAACTGCTTTGATACCAAATGATAGGATCCACGGATCCTGTGAGAAATTGATTCACTTCGAGGGGAGTCGTCCTCCAACTTTAATTAAAATTCTTTCGGCCAAAAACAATGTTCAGGAAGCTATAAATAGAATAGACCTCCTAACTTGACTTCTACTACTAACTAGACTCCTTGCCAATTACAACTATTGGCTCAATAAACTCCTAATCTGGCCCAATTATTCATAATTTCTATTCACACAACTAATTTTGGATAGAAATCTCAAAACTAAATAAAGAATAAAAATATAAACAATAATCATATGCATAGAAGTGCAGGCGGCAGCTCATTCGAATGAGGTGCCTAACACAGAATTTAATCTTGTGAATTCTTCTCCTTGATCGTAGATGGATCAGCAGAACAATTTATTCTTCTCTTCCTCCACTCCTTTTTCAATCTCTCTTTCCTTCTCTGGGGCTTTGAATGCTTTCAAATTCTGAATCAAATCAAACCCATAAAAAAATTTGATTACAAAACCAGTTTTTCTCACTCCATTCTCTGATTTTTTTTCTCTTACATCAAAGAGAGATTGGGAAGCAATGTGTGTTTAAAGCTCAGTTTGACATTATATTTTATGTATTTGGTGCATTGAAGAGACATTGAAGCCGAAGCTGAGCAAGGAAGCTGTATTAGATTGGTCCAAGAAAGAAAAACTCGAAGCAGAGAGACTCACTTTCAAAGTTGAATTCAATGTTGATTATAGTTTTGGGAAGCCAGGGGCCATCTTTGTGAGTAACAAATATGAGAGAGAGCTTTTCTTGGAAAGCATTGTATTCGAAGGGCTTGTCCATTTTACCTGCAATTCTTGGGTTCAACCAGCTGGAGTTAACAAAGAGAAAAGGATCTTCTTCCCCAACATGGTATATTTTTCATTCTTGCTTCTTTTCAAATATAGGGAACAAAAAGAAAAAGGGTTTCTCCACTGTTGATAAGATTTGATAGTTAAAAATTTTAGAGTACAAGTTATGACTATTGTGTGTATTTTTTGAAACAACTTTTCTAGAATTTAGACAACACCACCACCGTCACACTCCCACCACCACCATCACCACATTTTTGTTTTCATTATTTTTTGGATTATTGTTCAAACAAGTTATACTATTTTTTTTTCCGTAAAACTGTTTTTTAAATCATATAACTAAACAAATTATGTGACACAAAACACAGTTTTCTAAACCTTTTATCAAAAATAGTTTTCGGGTCCTGTTTTTTAAGAGGCAAACCAAACAGTGCAACTTTCAAGAATGTTTTTTGGAATTAGAATGGTAACAGATAACTGAGAGAGGCATTTTGATTTGGATATAACAGGCATATTTACCTTGTCAAACACCAGTGGCACTAAAAGAATTGAGAGAGAAGGAACTTAAGGAATTGAGAGGTGATGGAAATGGACTCAGGCTGCTTTCAGACAGGATATATGAGTATGACATGTACCATGATCTAGGGAATCCAGATAAAGGACCTGAATATGCAAGACCGACTCTCGGAGGCGAAAAAAATCCACATCCCAGACGGTGTCGCACTGGACGCCCTCCGACCAATACCAGTGAGTTCAACTTAAACTAAGTATTTCAAATAAGTAGTTTGAAAAGCGTTACCAAACGAAGGCTTAAATTGAAGGCTTCTACTGCTTTATATGGCTTAACATTGAGAATGAAGCTTTTGGGATAGTCTTGTAACCTCATAATAGCAGCAAGCAGGAGTGTTTCAAGGTTATGATCCTAGTTTTCAGCTAACCAGCCTACTTTATGATCCTACTACTTCTTTATATAGCTTTTGATTAGCATGCTAGGTTGATTTACTTCAAGGTTCAACAAAGAACAAAACTGAGCTTGATTTCTTGTTCAGTTTTTCCTGAACTCGTCTGCGTTTACTTAGCCATACCTGAGTGCTAATATATGTGATCTGTAAATGATCAGTTGAACATCTAAAGATCGTGATCTAAATATGAAGGAAGTGGATCCAGGGACAGCTGCTTCTGTAAACACAAGAAACTGTCTAAGTTTCAATCCAGATGCAATAAAAAAAATTCTCCAGTAATTCAAGCAATTGGAATTTGTAAGAGAACTCCTAGAGCTAATACTTTTCTTTGTGCATCCCCTCCATGATCTAGACTTAATGAAAGAACCTCATTACATGCAACTTTTTAATTATTTTTAACTCTAAATAAATTCTTAAAGTTCACCCTTAGTTGGACTTAAATTGAGGGGCTAGATCAAGTAGGCGCTGCACGACTTCATGAAAGAGAGTTCATATATTAGGATCACATGCATTGGGGTCTAACTATTAATCATTGTCAGGAATGAACTTGAGCAAATTTTCTGATAAAAAAACTCGGGCCGATTTTGAGAAAGATCAGTTAATTGAATTACTTTTTTATGCCAAAATATGGTTGACAATCAATTGACAAGAGCATTGATGTACATAATTTGCCTCAGACATATACGCAGAGAGCCCAGTGAATAAATTGATACCAATGTATGTGCCTAGAGATGAAGCACTGGAAGACACAAAACGTGAAGATTTTTCAGTAGCAAAGTTGAAGGGACTGCTCCGTAATGTGATTCCATCTTTAAAGGCTACCCTTCCCATGGAAAATGATGTTTTCAAAGGGTTCTCTGACGTTAAGAATACTTATAGAAATAAGCCTCTCGAAATGAAGTCACAGAAACAACGTCTGAATAATCTTCCATTTCCAAAGGTTTTCAGCAAACTTCAAGAGTCCATGGAAGAGCTGTTCAAGTTTGATCCTCCAAAAAATCTCTCTGGTAAGTGGTTAGTCAAGCCTGCTTTTTTTATTACTAGTAAGGAACTGCTCCATAATGTGATTCCATCTCTCTGATAAGGGTTCTTTGCCCGATCTCGAGGTTATAACTTAACGATATCTACTATTACTTCCTCTCAGTTGGTAACTCTGTCAGGCTGTTAGCATATCCATCTGACCAGATTTTAAGATATACTGGAGTGGCAGACCTGCTAAAGCCTAAAAGAATCAATCTCGGTTTTTTCCATACTTTCCCTCATGCTAAGTTAGAAATGCAATAGACAGAACAAGGGAAAAATATACTAACATCTCAGCATAGAAATTCAGCATCATGAAATGAAGAACAGTAATAGGGGCCATTGAAAAATCAGAAGTCATTAAAAACAATTTATGTAAATTGTTAAATAATCTATGTAAATTGAACTCATTTGATACCTGTCTGACAAACTTCATTTACTCCCAGGGGACACATCATGCAGCTTACGAGACGATGAATTTGGTCGTCAAGCTGTTGCAGGCATAAACCCTCTAAGCATAGAGAAGCTGAAGGTTCGTGTGAATGAAGAGATTAACATTTTGTATATGTACTATTGATTTTAAGAAAAGTTAATGATTCTCTTTTATAAAAACTCAAATGATGAAAACAAATTATTTTTCTCAAGGTTTTTCCTCCAGTAAGCAAACTTGATCCTGCAGTCTATGGTCCACCAGAATCAGCTCTCAGAAAAGAACATATCTTAGGCCATCTCAATGGACTGTCCATACAAGAGGTAAGCAAAAGCAGGCAGTTGTACTACTTGTGCACATGAAAGAGGTAAGTTAGACTTTCAGAGAAAAAATTAAGTTCAGTAAGGGACCTTATTACTAATCAGATATCGTGGCACAATGTGCAAAGTATGCTAATTAGTAGTTGGATACTTCTTAGAATTTTTTGAAAGTTTCTAAATCACAAAGGATGTGGAGTGAGGCGTAGAAAGAGAGATGGATAGTACTGTTGGGAGAGGGAAACTGGAGACAAACCCCTGCACATCAAAGGCTCTCTCTTAGCTAGGAAATAAACATATTGTAACATCACAATATACACCACTAATACATGAATTATATGCTTCTGGATATCTTACATAAACCTACGTCATTTTTCAGGCAATAGATGCGAACCAGTTGTTCTTGCAAGATTATCATGATGCGTACCTTCCATTTCTGGACCGGATAAATGCTCTTGATGGTCGTAAAGCCTATGCAACTCGTACTCTCTTCTTCCTGACACCAATCGGAACTTTGAAGCCAATTGCAATCGAGCTGAGTCTTCCACCTGCAGATTCAAATTGTTCGTCCAGGCGAGTTCTCAGCCCTCCTGTTGATGCCACAACCAATTGGCTGTGGCAACTAGGCAAAGCCCATGTCTGCTCCAATGATGCAGGAGTTCACCAACTTGTTCATCATTGGTATGTTTGATCTTCTTCTGAATATTGTGCTAAATTTCAAACCAATCTTAGTCAAACTAAGTGAGTCACAAAACACTAAATTTTGCCTAGATAGAGTCAATGGTTGATATGGGTAGGGGTGATCGCCCCTGAATATCCAAACTATAAGCTCACCCCTTCTCCACCTCAAACTTTTTTAAGATCTAAAATCCATCCCTATGATAAATTCATAGAACTGTCCATGATTAGAGTGATTCTAGTCTTTAGCTATCACTTATACAGTGAGATTCAATTGTCAAGTAAGCTTAATGAACGAAATTAAAAATAAAGTTCTTATAAGGGAAAATTGGACTGATCAACAGGTTACGGACTCATGCATGCATGGAACCATTCATCATATCTGCTCATCGACAGTTGAGCGTGATGCATCCTGTCTTCAAGCTTCTTGATCCCCATATGCGTTATACGCTGGAGATCAATGCCATGGCACGCGAGTATCTCATTAATGCAGGAGGAGTCATTGAGTCGAGCTTTACTCCAGGAAAATACTGCATGGAGATCAGCTGTGCAGCCTACCGGGATTGGTGGCGCTTTGATATGGAGGGGCTTCCTGCTGACCTAATGCGAAGGTTTGTCTCAGAATTCTTCTTATTCTCACCAATTCACATATTTTCATAGCCACCTCACGTATGATTCAAATTTTTGTTGTAGAGGGGTGGCGCTACCTGACCTAACACTGCCCCATGGTCTGAGACTACTCATCGAGGACTACCCTTATGCTAATGATGGACTACTTATTTGGTCCGCGATCAACAGCTTGATTCAAACATATGTGAATTACTACTACCCAGAGGCAAGGTTGGTGCAAGAAGACATTGAGCTTCTGGCCTGGTACAATGAGTCCATCAATGTAGGCCATGCTGATTGTTGTCAAGCAACATGGTGGCCTAAACTCTCTAATGCAGATGATCTTACTAGGATTCTCACCACCCTCATATGGCTTACTTCTGCGCAACATGCTGCACTCAATTTCGGGCAGTACCCTTATGGCGGTTATGTCCCAACTCGGCCACCATTGATGCGGAGATTAATACCCGAAGATCATGATCCTGAGTATGCAGATTTTGTTGCAGATCCCCATGGGTACTTCTTACTATCCTTGCCAACTTTGTCCCAAGCAACAGAGTTTATGGCTGTTATTGACATACTCTCAGCACACTCGCGTGATGAGGAATATATTGGACAGAGACACGACTTAGCGACGTGGTCAGGCGACCCTATAATCCTTGAGGCATTCTATAAATTTTCAATAGAGATTAAGAAGATAGAAAAGGAGATTGAAAGAAGGAACTCTGATCCAAGCCTTAGAAATAGATGTGGCGCTGGAATTGCACCATATGAGCTTCTCATACCTAGCTCAGGGCCTGGGGTTACTGGCAGAGGGGTGCCTAATAGTATATCAGTGTAAAATATATAAGTCATATGAATTTTGTTAAACTATAGTTTTATATCAAGTGAAGTTTTAGCTGCATTCTCTTCTTTATTCCAGTTTTTGGGCAAGGAAAAATTGTTCCCATCATAATTACCACCCCGAACCTCAGCTGCACACAATCATCCGTAAAGCATGTGTATCAGTTGAACACAAATTTCATGCAGTTAGATTCGAAATCAAGATACGTGGATTTACACCGTGCCATTGTTAAGATTTTTTAAAGAAGATTCACACTTTACCTTTATTCGACTATTAAACCAATTTGTGTGGATGCTCTCAAAACGGTGTTAACAATACTCCCAAGGAACTTCAAGAAGATGATAGATTGTACAAAAGTAACAGGGGAAATGAACAAAATATCAGTAATTTCAACAACATTTTCATTGATAGCAGAGCTCTGACATTAACAATTGAACAATGAGTTCCAATACAGTATTGCTACT